AAGCCTAGACACGCGTTTCACCGATGCCGTCACTATATGTCCCCACTGCGAGGGGTTCGACTCATCAATGGGACCGGCGAAACATATACCTGGGCATTTAGCTAGTATCTGTGCTGTCATTATTAATTTTAAATGCCCTTCAATATCAACTATACTTTATAGAATAAATTCACAAAAATATTCTTTCTTGTACTCGTTTGATGGCAGATTAAACCTGTTTTCCAATTGAATACCTGACGAAAGGATATGTTTGGGTTTAAAAGATTTATAAATGACTGAATAATTTTGCATCCTGTCGGCCGTTACACTTAACCTCAAGGTTTTCAAACTATACGCTCTATATATTCTGTCTAAGGAAAAATGCATATTCCTCTACGGTATGATGTTACATAGTTCCCCTGAAATTTTTCAATAGGTGGATATCATTTTTCACACTTTAAAAAACAATATTATTAAATTGGTGGAAAAGATATATTATCAATAAGCATGAATAAAAATTTCATTTTAAAACCGAAAAATACCCTTTCTTCGGACATAAAATTTGAAGAAGGCTTAATTTTCTACCAAGCAAGTATAAAGGAGAATATTGTTGTGCATTTTTTATTTAAAATATAGTTGAATTTATAAGGATATTGAAAATCAATGTGAAAATGCGTACTACCAAAGTAGCCTCCTTACATGGAATATAATTTTGCAGGCTGTCTGAAAAAAAGCTCGTGCAAAAACTGCCATCCTGACGTGACCGTAATATCCCATGATTGGACTGCTCGATAATCAATAGTACAACCACACTTGAATAATTTTCTTGAATCGAAAACACATTTCAGAATTTCGGTTGACATTTCATGAGATAGGGAATCTACCGAATACTTATAACTGTCTGTTGGCGGTTTAATTAATATTACGCGGTGATCTCGCTACGGCCAATGGACTTCATATTCATATCAAAGTTTAGTCTGCGCTGTTTAAATTATTTACTTCAAGTTAACGATTAAATTTGGGGACATAGCAAAGCAACAAGTTCAGAACTGGAGTATCTGCCAGAGAGCAGACGGGAGTGCCGGGGGATCCGCTGGCTAGCCGAACTGTGCGATGTAGCGACAGCATATCGGTGAAGTGCGTGACTAGGCTTTCAACTATTATCTTTTCTGTCAGATGACTGAATACAGAAATGCCGACCGGAGGCTACAGAGAAGACCATTTGGTTATCCGTAAATGTCCGCTTAAATAATGTTATATGGGGCGTGTTAATGGCCGTAAGATATTGCCGGAACTCCAAAGACGCCCAATAAACTCGTCACGCTATGTGCGTATCAACCGACCCCACTTTTCCATATGGCAAGAAAAGTTTAATTAAATGAATCTTTTTAAAATGTACAAAAAAATGATATGGACAAGAGCATACAATAAAAATAGTAGCACTGAAGGCGGCAGTAATTAGTCCCTTTCATTTGAAAAGGACGCGTGTGTTCGGTTGTCTTTCAGTGAGACCAGCTTTCCAGGTCCGTCTAAAGGGTGCGTTCTTCTTACACGTATGCTGACAGCCTGAAAGGGGAATAAGCGAGCCTACCTTACCAACGAGTATAAAGAGGGTCTGATAGTGACACACAGTTCATTCAAGGCACTAAAAATTACACCAGTAGCAAATAGAATCAAGGGGTTCTTTTTCGAATTCAGCACACATTTAACGCTACTGATATCGCCCTCTAGGGAGCGATTCCGTTGTGACAGCACTAAACGGCGGCCAAAAACATGGATGATAAGCAGGAAATTAATTTCGTACAAAATCCGCCACCGCATCTGACTGCCTTTCTAATCAGTCTGGCTTGATCTTGCCACTAGATCAGGATGGGACTAAGGAGAGAGGCCAGTTTTGTGTTACCTTTACCTGCGATAAATAATCTAACACTCTATCACGGCAGCCCTAAGGTTATAGCTTAGGATGTCGCCAACTGAATGGGAACTTGGCCTCGAGACTGAGAACCAGGTTTGAAGTGCTCCCTGTTGTCTTACGGAAACTGTCATCGATGTGAGGTCTCAGTATCATGTGGGCTAAGGAACCGGCGTGTATGTGACAAGCGTAGGCAACAGTTTTGGTCAAGTCAGCGGCTGTGCTCAGTCTAGACCTTACACCGTGTCTACAAATTAGGAGAGGGGGGGCACTGGAACGTATCGATTGCTGGACGAGATTACTAAGTGACCGTAAGTTTGAGCTGTTACTATCCTAATAAAATGTAAAATAAACACTTTGCTGATAGAAACGAAGAGGCAATTTCCAGAAAGCAGTCGCTAAGAAATAGGCACAATCGCCGGAACAAAAGCTTTACGTTTCGGATTCTCACTAAAATCCATTATCTCAAGCCTGAGATTAATAAACAAAATTACAAGCAGGAGAACGAAAATGAGGAAATATTAAATTGTAGGCGAATTTGCATAGGTAGAAAACAAGTGTCGCTGGAGATATTTAGGGCTCCTCAATGATACGGTGCTCTGACGAGTAGTATTATTGTCGTCTATGCCTTTGTCCGAGCAGCCACCTAACCGCGCGTAAAGGGAGCAGACTACATGGCCGTCTACTTTTGTGGTGTCGCTAAGCATCCAGTATTGTTTCCAAGGAGATCGGTATAGCTTCATAAGCATTCGGCAACCTAACCACAACTGCGCTAAAAGTTGACAGCATTTTTAAATTCGCAGTTCTCCTCATTTTTCCCTTTCTATGGGAATGAGCAGCAGCAGGAAGTCGAAGCTCGAGAAGTGAGTAAGGCAATGGAATAAACCGCATGGCCACAGAATTCGCTTGCGATTCAGTCAATAAAGCAGTGGTGATAAGCAACTGAAGATGTAGAGGGAAGGCGTTTCTAAATCAACAGATAATGACGTACATCGCAAAAGAGCCTGTGCGGAAGTGCGCAAAGTCAGAGGCGTCGTGAAAGGCGACGGAGTGGGAGGAGGAAGACTGTAATCAGCCAAGTCGGCGGGCAGTCTCACCACGAGTTGAAGGGCATCCAAGTCCAGCTGAGACAACTTGAGGGCAAAGTCTTCGAGCAATTGCATGGGATTATCTAACGACAGGAGACAGATAAGTGGGCCGATAAAGAAGATGAGATGAAGAGAGATGAAGAAACAAGCGTGAAATTGCATTAACTCGGAAGTGAGGGAATTCAAACCTGGGATTTCAGGGTTCTCTATACTGGAGGAGGCAACATGCAGCAGTATGCACATCTCGGCCTGCCAAATGTTGGCCGTGAGAAAGCGTAGAACAGCTAGGGCGGCGAGCACGGTCCGACAATAGAGAACGCGATCGTACTCTCTACAGGGAGGACATACCTCAAACTCGGAGGCTGTAAAAGAGTAAAAAACGAAGATAAGCAGGGAGTATGAAAGATATAATTACTCACGACAAAATGCAGCCATTGGCTGATCACGTGAGATGACAAGCGAAATTTTGGAGCCCGCTTTCGATTAGGAAGTAATAAATGGGGTTGAATGCTAACTATCGTACAGCGTAATCCTAAAAACCTCCCTCACGTCGAGATGCCTACGTTTGAGTGCATTTTGTTTTGGCCGCCTGGAAGGACCATACTCAGTCGAAAAATGACTTCTAAAGTGATATGCATTTTTATATTGATTGCCCTATAAACTCAAATATATTTTAGAGAAAAAATGAGCAAAAATGCCCTCACTTGTAATCGTTTGCCAGAAAATCACGGCTTCTTAAAACGCAATACTCAAAAAGAGTATCTTTGGGTTTTTAAAGAGTTTCCCATAACAGTCTGTTATCGGTAACGCCACGGAAAACAAAAATCCCAGAATTCCGTAAATGGGACCGCTGGTTATACGGGTGAGGCATTATAGGGGTTCAGGAGACAAAATATCAAACAAAAACAGGAAACAATAGATAAAAAATATTATAAAAAGCTAATATACATAGCAACCAAGAAGCGCGCACCCATTGAAAAATATAAAATAACTAATTAAGTAATTAAACAAAATAATAATAAATAAATTTCCATTACTGCCGGTGATTTATTACAGAATTCGCGTGCTTTTGGTTTCCGTGTAGTAGTAGACTGGTACCGAATTTTCAATTCCCGAATAATTTGTAGCCTGATCGGCCATTTCATTTGGGTTTAGGGCGATCATACATTCGCCTTTACACTCATAAATGTTTGCAATAGAGGTGTACTATACTGTATACTTCATAAAGTCTACTAATAAACGGACAGATGTGCTGATGTATGAATAAATATTGCACCGCCTTAAAAAAAACTGATTGCAAACTTTAAAAACGAAGCATACTCCTCACTTGAGTATAGAATTTTGAAGGTAGGGGTCTTCTACCAAAGGTGTCCAAAAAGGATACAAAAGAGTAGTAGGCGAGCATACGTAGGCTTTCGATAAATTTTCATCGGGCCGTTACATTTATATGGGAACGAGGTACACCGATCGAATCGTCTTCTTCTCAAGTTGTTGTTGTTGTTGTACTAGCTTACTGCCTTAACCTAGTTTGCCAGCAATACATGTTATAAAATTTTTAAGAAAGATGA